AGTGCCGCGTAGAGGGGGAGGATCACCTCCTTGGACCTGCTTGAGATGCATCTGTGGATGCATGACAAGGTGCAGCTGGCCTTCCTGACTGCGTCCCCACACTGTTGGCCCATGCTCATTTTGGCATCAATGATGACTCCAAGATCCTTTTCTGCCTCTGCACTGATGAGAAGGGAGCTCCCCAGCCTGTAGGTATGCTGCTGGTTTTTCTCCTCCAGGTGCAACACCTTCCACTTGTCAGTGCTGAAATCCATCCTGTTCTCTTCTGCCCACCCCTGTAACCTGTCTAAGTCCAATTGCAGCCTACTCCTCACTTCTAGCGGGTCCACTTCTCCCCACATCTTAGTGTCATCTGCGAATTTGAACAAGGGGCTTTTTACCCCCTCGTCCAAGTCACTGATGAAGATGTTGAACACTGCGGGCCTGAGGACTGAGCCCTGGGGGACCCCACTGCCCACATCCCTCCAGGTCGAATAGGACCCTTCTACTACCACTCTCTGGGTGTGACCCTCCAGCCAGTTAGTGACCCTTCTAATCTGGACTAAAATTGTGCTCCAATAATATGCAGCCTGAATGTTCGTTTGGGTTTCTGTCTGACAGAGAAGCTATTTTTTCTACATGAACATATGAAATACAGGGAAAGAACTGAGTGGAAAACTGAGAAAAGGGTCTAGAAAATAGGAGGGTAGTGCAACAGTGCGTTATAATGAATTAACCCACGCAGCTAACTAGGAGGAAATATTGGCTATCGGGTAGGTTCAGCCTCACTGAAAGCATGGAGATGTTGTGACTGCCACCTTTCATTTAAAATATCTATAAGCTACAAAGTTCTTCTATGGAATCAGGTAGCTAAAACAGGGCATCCAACCAAAACAAAAGGCACATGTGGTTGATAAGGAATTTGAACTATGTGAGCAGAGGGTCTTGTCTGGGTATCATTATTAAAAGGGTATATATAAGATATAGAGAAACAAAAAAAGCACCACAGAAACTGACTCTGAAAAGGAACAAAGCAGTCAGACAATCCACTGTAGAGTGACCAGAGTAAAACTGAAGAAGGCATGCTGTTGCATAAGGAGCTGAAAGAGTCAGGGAAACAAGACCTTTTAAACAAGCAGGATAGCAAAGAAATAATAATATCTTCAGCAATTTCTCCTCCTAAACAACCTGAAGGGTTCAGAAAAATGCCCTATTGCAGGTGCATCTACATGTGCAATTAAAGCGTTCATGCCAGAGTTTATTTCTCCTTGGTGCATTTACACATATACCTGGGACTGCAGCACGTTGAGCCGGGATGGAGTAGCCCCAGGCTGGCAGGAGACTCAGAGCGTCAGCTCCGGGTAGTGGCGTTGGGTGACAAAGAGACTGGCTGGGGCGTGAGGGTGCTACAGTGCAGGGCTAGCTAGCAGGCAGCCCCCACACTGTAGCCCCCTCATGCCCCAGCCAGTCCTGGTCACAGTGTACCCACAAGTTGTGGTGGCATAAATTACTCCACCATAAGATAATACTTGTCCCAGATAGAACTATCCTATGGAAGAGTTACTTAATTTACTGCACCCTAATATGGGTGCATGTGTAGACAGTGATGCTTTGCTGCAGAACTAATTAGTCACCTCCACAGTAAAGCACACATGTAGATGCACCCTGTGTAATTCAAAGGGCTAACACTAGCATTAAGACGATGATCCGGTTTCCAATACTAAACACTGTTGCAATGATATTTCTGTGGAACCAAGGTGAAATAAATTGTTTTATCTTTTAATTTCTTTCAGCCAAGAGCTGAAGGCATGGAAAAGTAAGGGAGGGAGGGATGGGATGGAGGAAGGAAAAATGCAGCTGCTGCGGCCACTGCACAATTGTGGTAGAAACTGGAAGTCACCACTGCCCCTTCTGCCCCAGCTGTGTTCTTACACCTGGCTGTTTCCTTACACTGCTGGTGGCAATAGCTAATGGGGCAAACCTGTTAGTGAGGCTGTCCTACTCACTGTCAGGCTCCCCTGGACATCGGGGAGCTGAGGAACCACTTCCTATTGCCTCCTGGCTGAAGAATGTGCCTTTGTGGAGACTTTGTTACACTCCAGGTTAGAGGTTGTACACATCTGTACACCCCATAACGGGCAACCATGTTTTCTTGTATAGAGAGAAGATCTCTGCCCCCACCCTGACCTCCCCCTCAAAACAAAACAACAAAAACAGGTGCTGGAAATTAGTGCAAATTATACAAGAGAAATATGGTAAAGAACAGTTCCTGCAAAAGTGAAAGTAAAACCTGACTGCAACTCACCAGGAAAAGAACAATGAGCAGCGTGCCTACCTGCTGCTACTCACTCACTATACAGAAAGACTTTTTCTTCATTCTGCCTTTCAAAACAAAATGTATATTATATTCTCAGATATGTGTATGTGATAAAATATGGTATCTTTTGCACTACAAACTTTGTAGCACTATAAAAATAAAGTGTCTAGGGCTTGAGAGAAATTGCAGCCCAAGTGAGTATAAAGGGGGCATTTAGCAGTCAGCTTAAGTGACCCGGCTCTTATGGTGCTGAATATTTTATCCCTAGAAAGAGACTGAGTGACCAGATGTAGTACAAGCTCTTGAAATGCTGTTTGGAGCCCATCATAGCAAATCTAGGAGCTACAAGGAGGAAAAGCAGCAATCCATTCACAATTGGCAGACAATCTAGAGACTTGCATTCCTAACATATTGAGATACTGACAAATACTTTCAGGATAAATTTTCAATGGTCCAATTTATAGATAAACCAGGACTAGCAGAATAAAATCAGTGAAAGAAGGCCAAAATACTCCCAAGAGGCTGTGGAATCTGCCCCAAAACGTGAATCTTTCTGTGCAGCAGTATACCAGAAGAGGAAGCAGCTGTTAGTGAGAAAGATGGAAGCTGATCATCACAAGCCCCGTAGATATAGCTCTGAGTGTTAAGTGTCTGATGGAAAGGGGATTCTAATTTGGTTCTTGACATTAGAAAAGGTGATAAATTTAGTTTGTAAAACAAGGGAAATGGGCAATAATGGAAAGAAATCAAGCAGCAAGTGCAATTAAATGCTGGTACTGTGAAAGAATATTATGCCTATAAGGCTGGACAAGGCACCATTTCACAGATTTCTAGTGTAAGCTCCTCTGTCAGTTCAAGAACAGGAAGGAGCCCATGCTCAAAGGAAAAAGCTCAGAGATACAAGGTTCTGGGTAGCTAAATAACAACAACAGGAGTTTAGCTACTTCTGTGTAATCTGTGAAATGCACCCAATCGCTGCCCATATATGCTAAAAAGGCCAAGAAATAAATATGTAAAAATCGAAGCACCTAATTGGTTTGAAAATTGGGTTTGAAAATAAATCTCTAGAACCTAAGTCCCAGTAGCAGAGAGAGGGGATGAGCTAACTATCAGTTTGGATTTCCCTATGGCTAATAAATATGTAACATGTATCAAGAAAAGTATCTTAATTATTAAAGAAAATTCAAAGAAAAATTATACATTATACAGAAAAATGGCTTTTAAAAATGTATAATAGATTTCATTTTAAATAAAATGTATTGAATATTACAGTCTCAAGGTCTTGCTTGGGTGGTGAAATAGTCAAGAAAAACAGAATTTGAACCTTCTAAAAATTATATGAACATCTTTTCCACATTCTACAATCCACTAAAAATACCATCCACTAGATCTGTTAATTAATATTTGTGCATTCAGGAGTTTTCCTATGTGATTTCCAAAATCATTAATTTTCACAATGAATATTCAAAAAACCTTATTTTTTCCTTTTTTTTTTTCACCTCTCCTCCTGTGGTAAGCAGACCAGGTGAATCGAGCTTCCTTTTCTTCCGTGGACCAATAGCTGCCAAGGCAGTTAAATTGGCATCCCTCTGCCTCATCTGTGCTAGTTCTTGTTGCTGCATCTATTACAGGGAAAAACAAAAGCAATTAAAATTATATCCTGTCCTCATTTCCAAAATCTTATACTGATGCTTAGCTACGCAAAATAGTCAAAACTGAGCATGTCTAATATCTCACAAGATCATGATGTACCAACTAAGTCAAACTGTAATAGCTCTTACATACTGTCTCTGAACAGGAATATCTAAAGCATCACAGTGACATATGTGCATAAGTCCCATTGGCTTTCCATAGGATTTAGTGAACAGTCTTTGAAAAATCTCACCCTTAATACAATACCTTGAAACCTACTTCAATCAATAGGTACTATATATTAACTATACACCTTCAGACCATAATTTCTGTCAAGATCCCAAGTACAAAGTAAATGCCAAAATAGTACAATACTTCAAACATTTCCTTTCATCTCCAAATCTGAAGTTTATTTTGACCATTTCATCTACACTTGATATTAATTTTGGGAAAGCAGTAAAAAAAATCCCTGTGTGTGAACATTAGCCAAAGGTTTTTCTGGAAGCACAGTAATCAAAAGTCGAGTTTCCAATGCCTTTATGAGATTAGAGGTTAGTCAACCCCAGATTTAATCCAAGTCTGGATCAAAGAAAATAACATACTTGATTTACAACTTTATGTATTCCGTAATACAGGAGAGAAAACAAAAACTAAGAGAAAAGATTATGGCCATGTGATGAAAAGGTCAGATTGTTTTGCTCATTTTGTGTTGTATAATCCCCTGAAAGAGTTAATGATCACAAATATTTTCCACATATAATGCAAGAAGGATCTATAGTCAAGTAATGCTAATATTGTATAAAACCAGTTAAAGTCAGATTTAGGTAAGTCGCACATAGTTGGAATTAGATGGAAACATTTGTATTTTTTAACATTACTACCCTAATTTCTTTCCAGTTTGCAATTATTTGGTTTCTTCAGAGGTGTCTTTTGTTTTCTAATTTCTCGGTGATATAATTTTTCTACCTCCAAAGAAATCTCAAGTCACTGTCTCATACACTTCCATGGAGGTTTGGGGTGTGTCAAAGATTGTATTCATACAGTCAAAACATGAATTGACAGGTGTGGTTACAAGCAAGTCTTTAACTCTGAATTTCACATACAAGGTAAATGTAAACTTACTGGGAACTGAGTAAAAAGGAACTTAAATAAACAAACAGAACATACTGTATTTTTCCCATCTACATTTTGTATTTTGTATCTACATTTGTATCAAACAGCAGAAATGTCTTATTTTCCACATTTTTGGATTTTCTAATTACTATTTGCAATTTATCCTAACTAGATTTACTGTACTTTTTAACTCCTTTGGCAAAGCTAGATAATATTATAAATGCAGCACATTTAAGTCTGAAAGCTGTTTATTCTTTCACATGCTCTTCTGTTATGCTTAAGTTATAGTTTTGACAGTTTCACAACTCAAATTTTCAGCTGAACATTAACACTAAAATTATATAAAAATACAAACAATTCAAGTACCAGAAGGATAAAAAAATCAATTAAATAAAGAAGCGGAATGTGGGCAAAATGTCTAAATAATAGTGCAAAGGTCTGTATGTACTTCCTTTGCCAACTCATATTAGGCTTTTAACTCAAATATCTTTGGCTCTCTTCCAGATTAAATGCCAGTTAGACAGACCTGCCCGCTTACCCTTTCAAGGTAGATAGCAACAGTGGTGAGCTCTAATCATTTACAAAGGTCATGATCGGAAGCTAGCCCGTAAGCAGTCATTTAAAATTCGATTGATCCCTATTTGTAGTCAGGGAAAGAAAATGGACATTTCAGCTGTATTGTAATTATGAGGCTTCAAGGCAACTGTAAATAGATGTGCAAATCTAGATACTGGCAAATACCTTAGAGAAGAAATTATTACTATAGTATAACATATAGCTAGGAAAGGTTGAAGATAAAACTGCATATAAAAAAAGATCAATCATCTTTTTGCTAATTTAGAATGCTCACCAGCCTATAAGGGTTATCACAATTATCAGAAGTCTGCTGAATATTTAAGTTAGGGCCAACTGGCTCAGACTGATCTCAGACAAAGTTGTAAAGCAGAGGGTTACACGGAATGTGAAATTTTGCTCTGGAGATGAGTTTTAATTTCATGGGAGGTTAAGGTCAGAAATGCAGTAAGAAAGGTGACATGTATAATACAAAGGTCACTGCACAAATACGTTACTCAAAGTTATAGTTCTCAGACTTCAGCACTTACACAGGAGTACATATGCACTATTCTGCATTACAAATAGATGCCCATAATACATCTGAATAGTTGCTCTATGAACCATAATTTAGCACCTCTTGATTTTTGTAAATGCAAATTCTAAACCATGACATGTCATTACTATAATATTGGGGCAAATCCTCCCAGTATGAAAAATGCCTTGGGTGTTGTTTCACTATACAAAGGCAGATAGATTTGAGCCCCACCAAGGGGCACTGCTCTCATATGCTCATTAGTTTCTTTGTCTTTACCTTCTTATTTTTGTTAATGTTAAATCAATTTGCTGAGCCTGCTTATATAATGATCATACTATTTCCTTTTTAAACACAGGCACACAGAAAGAAATATTCAACTGACTACAACATATGACAGAAAGTGCAGTCAAGTAGAGAAGACTGAACTGGGAACCAGGTTCCCCCATCTATCCCATCCTTTGCATCTTGTGCACTTATACTGTAAGCTCCTCAAGCAGCAACTCTTTGCTACTTGCCTTATTTACTAACCCCAGCACTGTCCCTAATCCTAGCTAGGGCCTGTAGACTATAATATAATATATATTATATACTATAATATAAATAAATGTTAAATGTCCAGATGTGGAACTCTAGACACATTAATAGATGCATAGCTTGTGAGGCTGGGAGGGACCTCAGAAGATCATCGGGTGCACCAAGCAGGAAAGACAACTAGGATCAAGTGACCCCAGCAAGGTGACTATCCAATCTCCTCTTGAAGATTTCCAGAGTAGGCGATTGCACCACCTCTGGAGGGAGCTTATTTCAGTCTGGACACCATAGCTGTGAAGAAGTTTGTCCTAATGTTGAGCCTAAAATGTTCTTCCAGGAGTTTGTGACCATTGCTCCTGGTTTTCCCCAACGGTGCCCTGATGAACAGTTGTTCACCAAGCCAATGATGTATGCCCCGATGTAGCAGTAAGCTGCTACCAAGTCCCCTCTCAGACTTCTCTTCTTCAGGCTGAAGAGTCCCAGATCCCTCAGCCTTACCTCATATGGCTTGCCATGCAAGTCTCTGATCCTATGGGTGGTCCTTCTCTGGACTCTCTCAAGCTTTTCCATGTCCTTGTTGAAGTGTGGCACCCAGAACTGGGCACACTACTCCATCTGCAGTCTCACCAATGCCACGTAGAGTGGAAGAAACATTTCTTAAGTTTTGCTGGAGATGCATTGATTGATGCATGCCACAGTATTATTTGCCCCGCTGGCTACAGTGCAGCACAGCCAGCATATTTTCATACTGCGGTCAATTATTACTCGCAGGTCTCTTTCATTCGTAGTGCTGGTTAGATTGGCGTTGCCAACCTATAAGTGTGCAAGGGACTGTTCATCCCCAGGTGGAGCACTTTACATTTCTCAATGTTAAACATCATCTGGTTCCAATCCGCCCAACTTGCCAGCCTGTCTAGGTCCACCTGTATCTGCAGCCCATCTTCAAGCATGATCACATTTCCCCATAACTTGGTGTCATCCACAAACTTGACCAGTGAGCTCTTCACCCCCACATCCAAATAACTGATGAAGATGTTAAAAAGCACTGGACCAAGCACTGACCCCTGAAGGACACCACAGGCCACTTCTTGCCAACATGACACAGATCCATTCAGCAGAACTCTCTGGGTCCTACCCCATAGCCAGCTTCCTACCCACCCAACTGTCTCTCAGTTAAGCTCACAATCTTCCAATTTTCTCATGAGAACATCATGGGATACCAGGTCAAAAGCTTTTTGGAAGTCAAGGTATACAATGCCAACATCCTCTCTCTTATCCAGGTGGCAAGTTACCTGATCATAAAAGGAGATGAGGTTGCTAAGACAAGAACTGACCATAACTAAGCCATGCTGGCTGTAATTCAGAATCCTACCTTCTGCGAGCCTATCACATATAGACTCCTTGATGAATTTTTCCAGGATTTTCTCTGGGATAGAAGTTAGGCTAATTGGCCTATAGTTACCCAAGTCCACCCTCCTTCTCTTCTTGAAGATGGGCACAACATTTGCTCTTTTCCAGTCCTCAGGGGCCTCTCTAGAGCGCCATGAGTTTTCATAGATTTCATAGATTTTTAGGGTCAGAAAGGACCTTAGTAGATCGAGTCCAACCCCCTGCCGTGGGCAGCAAAGAGCACTGGGGTCAGATGACCTCAGCTAAGTACTTGTCTAAGACACCCACCTAAAGCTTTGTCTAAAGCTTTTGGAAGAGCTTCACCAGGGGTTCCACTATGACTTCAGCCAGATCCTCCAGCACCTTCCTATGAATTTAATCCAGGCCTGCTGACTAATTTTTATGTCTAATTTTTTAATTGGTCACACACCAGTTCTACGGCAATAGTAGGAAGGCGGTCATTCCTACCCTGCTCCTCCTGTACCCTATCTGGCATGTTTTTCCTCTTGGTCCTGTGAAAGGCTGAAGCAAAGTAGTCATTCAGGAGTTCAGTTTTCTCCTA